TTAAATGAGCCTAAAAAACAGAGTTCGCGTTCATGAAAAATCGAGCTAAGCTGAGCCAGCTCATGAGTTGCGAGCTCATTTTGACACCCCTATGCGTGGGATACTGATTAAAAATGTAATTGCAAAATAAATAATACAATAATAGGTTTTGATATCCTTCCAAAGAATTATACATGAATTTGTTTAACACTTTAATTATACACTTCTGGATGGTAAGTATTACTCAAGCCTTGATCTAAGTATTTGTATGCTTTTATAATGTTACATACGTACTTAGGTAAATCTTAGATTTTTAAGGATATTTTAAAAAGGTTTTACGTAGGTTGTATTTTTGAAAAGAGGTATTGGAAAAAAGCATTTCTAACAATTCCTCAATTTACAATGTCATTTTAATAATTTTATTACATTTTGCTTCTCGAATAGTATTCATTTATGTAATGATTTATAGTTAAATTAAATATGAAATAATATTTTAAAATAAACTATTATAAGATAAATTGTTGTTAATTGTTTAATATAAATTAGAATATGTTTGTGTGGATTTCAAAATCTCTGCGGTATATCTTGGATTTTTTACTTATGAAACTCCAAAGAGATTTCATTTCAAATGATTTAATATACAAAGATTTTACAAGTCTTTTAGTTTTGAATAACACTGGATTTTAATAAAGTATTTTAAACAATTTCTCTTATAATAGTTTATTTTAAAATATTATTTCATATTTAATTTAACTATAAATCATTACATAAATGAATACTATTCGAGAAGCAAAATGTAATAAAATTATTAAAATGACATTGTAAATTGAGGAATTGTTAGAAATGCTTTTTTCCAATACCTCTTTTCAAAAATACAACCTACGTAAAACCTTTTTAAAATATCCTTAAAAATCTAAGATTTACCTAAGTACGTATGTAACATTATAAAAGCATACAAATACTTAGATCAAGGCTTGAGTAATACTTACCATCCAGAAGTACATATAAGTGTATTTGATATTGTTAAATAGATTGTTTTCTATTGGCAGTAGAGAAAGCAGAATCGAATAGAAAGCTTGGAGGTTTTCTGTAGACTCTAACCTTTGAGAGATTCTCTGGATTTTCAGGATTATGGTGAAATGTTGGTTGCCTATAAACCATCGCATACTGATGCAATTTATGACATGAAGTATGGTGTCAGATTAGTGCAGGTTTCTGTTTAACTTATTTATATGCTACTTTCTTGGTAAGGTTTTATGTAGACTTATTTATATGCTAATTTTGAAGCAATTTGCAGGAACTGAGGTGTGTTTACTTTCAGTTTGCAAGTGGCATTGCTCTCAAAGAATCAATTTACATCGAACACTTTATATTCTTTCTGATTTTTGGTTTGTTCTTTCATTTCCGTCTTTTAATCTTAGTATATCTTTTCTATCTTAGTATATCCTTGCAGTGATTGTATTGGTTTCATTTGTTTTGTTTTATTGTAAAGCAGGTTAAGAGAATTCTACAAGAAATACAGCGTTTTCCTACGGCCAAAAACGTAGAAAATTGGTAGGAAACAGACGTTTCCTACCAATTTCCTACGAAAAATATTCGAAGGGAATCGCCCGTAGGAAATAGAATTTGGTAGGAAATTCGTAGGAAATTTCTTACGAAACGTATTCGTAGGAAATCGCGTAGGGAATTTCGTAGGAAATTGGTAGAGCAGTGTTCACCATTTTCCTTCCAAATTTTCGTAGGAAATTTTATCCTTCAAGTTTCCTACGAAATATTTCTCACTAATTACCTACCAAAATTTTCTACCAGTTTCCTACGATACACTTCCTACCCAATTCCTACCATTATCCTTCAAAATTTCAGAGAATTTTAATAAATTATTTTTATTTATTTGTTACAAATTTAGGTTTTTGGAATAAATTAAATTTAAAATTCAAAAGAAACGTCATAGCTTCATACCAATTGAACTTCATACGAAGCCATATTCATTGTACAAGCCATAGGTGTTCAAAACCATTTATTAAAACAAGGTCTTAAACAGCATAAGTATTGTAATTCAGATGGACTAAACGAAGAACTCCAATCATATTGTCCTACACCACCAGAAGGAGCAAATTGGAGCAATAGGAAACCATCTTCTGACAACTTGAAAGCTCCAGACTGCAAAAAACAGAAATCAAATGGAAAACTCAAACTTGAAAGCTTTCATAATTTTTTGAGATAAATCGGTTACAAAAAGACAACATTTCTTAGTTATAGTGATGAAAGATGTGTAATTTAGTTTTAGAAGAAACAAGATCACATACCATTTGATTTAGAATTTCCCATTATTAAACTTATTCTCTTAAAAGACGAACAAGTTGAAAGCTACGAGAAAGAATTCGACGAACCTGACTGAGGCAAAGTAAGAAACGGAGAAGGAGAGAGCCTTGACTGCGTCACTTCTAGAGACTTCTAGGGTTCCATCTCTCTCTGCTTTACAACTTACCAAAAGAAAACAATTTCAAACAAATGTGATCTCACCATATATCCAACAAATAGAGGATACTAAACGCACATACTCCATTTCTCTAGCGTCAAAAGATTCATCCACCCTATAAGAAAGGCAAAACAACAACAATCCTATATCAAATCTCCGATGAAACCAACATATGATTTTTCATCTAAGCTGCATTTGATTCAAAATCCAGTTATTAACAATAGCCTTTGTAGTAGCTTTTTTACACATATACCAAAACTAAGACAAAGTAAGCTTAAAGTTTTGCTCAATATCAAGAGGTAAGAATTCAGAACCTACACAAAAAAAAAGAGATTGTTTAATTAATCTCCAGAACTGAGAAAAACAAACAAACAAGACATTTTCTTAGTTCACAAATCTTACCATGAAAGAGTAGTTTATGTTCTTATCACCACACATTGTTGTATATTAAAATCAAGTCAGCCTGAAACATATGAGAGGCCGGTTCCATGCTACAAATCCAAACCCGAGACTTATGAACCCTAAATTAAACCAAAATTTCTGATTGCGTATTAGATTAAAAAAACCGAATCAGCCACAAAATTTTCAACTAAACCATCGAAATCGAAAATCACCAGATTTTAGAAAATCGAAACAATGTGTAGAAGCGCAAGAGAGAAAGAGACTTACCTGAAGCTAGTGACGTTGCCGCATTAATACACCTAGGCTTGTTGAGACGATTTGCCGCATTAATACACCTAGGCTTGTTGAGACCACGAAGAGTCAAATGAATCTTCAATTCGAGTTTCATAGGCCGGAGAGGCTTGTAGGTTCAATCGATGCTTATTAGGGTTTGGATGAGCTGGGTGGAGGGAATGGGAGGTAAAGGAGGGAGCTGAGGGAGAGGAGGGTGGGGAGAGACGGTTGAGACATAGCGGCGGTGACGGTGGACGAGTAGATCGGAGACGGCGATGATGTAGAATGGAGAGGAGCGTTGCTCGAGAGAGAGTTGTTCAATCTTTTTTTTTTTTTTCTGTCTCCAAACAATCTAAAGGGAAATTATTATGATATGGTTTGATGCCGGTTATCTACGGTTTAATTGGTCTTGGTTTAATGTCATTAATTTGATGTATATATAAGCTTAAGTACACATTTTATATACTTTAGATTGTAACAAACATTTTATGACTGTTAATAAGATTCTGTTAAACCTCCAATCTTCTCTCGTCTTCTCCGTTTCACCGGAGTTTCACCAAAGTTAATAGAAATATTAATATTACAATGGCGGTAACTGTTACTTTTTTCCCTAAGTGTTGGCGCTCATGACAAAAATGAGGCTCTAAAACTCCCGATTAGTGAAAATGTCGGCTTAACATTTTTAAAAAGCTATAGTAGACTATCTCAATCCAGCATACCGTCTTTAATAGCAGTTACATAAATCGTGCTATCGTAATATGCTATCAATGCTTTTTTTTTTTTAGTGCTAATCTTACAATTTTCCTACCAATTATTTCCTCATAACTTTCTTTCGCATTTCCTACGTGAATTCCTACGAAGGTTTGGTCGTAGGAAATTGGAAGGAAATATACCTTCGAATTTCCTACCAATTCTTTCCTATGGCTTTCATTCCACTTTCTTACGAAATTTCCTACGACATTTGTTTTCGTAGGAAATCTCCTACGAACTTCTTACGACTTTTATCGTAAGAAATTTCATTCGAATTTCCTACGAAATATATATTTTGTAACAAATGCGTAGGAATTTGGTAGGAAATGATTCCTACCAAATATTTGGTAGGAAATTTGGTAAGAAAAGACTATGTTTTCTTGTAGTGATAAGAATGTTGTGAGGTTTAAGTACGAGATAACGCATTCCACGGGTATAAAGAAGCTAGTTTACGAAGATGATGATTTCAAAGGGAACGTTTATCTCCATCCTCTCATGAACTTGTTTTGATGTTATCTAGTAAGTACCTAGTATAAGACTTGGTTTGATGACTTGATGTAGTCTAAGACTTGGTATATTACTGTTATGCAAGAGTTGTTTTGGTTAAATGTAATGTTTATATTATGTATGTTGATGATTTATGAAATAGAAAATAAAATTTATATATAAATCCAATTTAATAAATTCTGCAAAATAGGGTAAAAATATAAAAATTCTATAAATCAAATAAATATATTTATATAGCAAAATAAAAGTGTTACGAGATAATATAAAACAAGATTAAACATGTGTTAACATAAAGTATAATTTTTTTTGTCAATCAACATAAAGTATAATAAAGCATTTAATTAGTGCTATAATTGAACAACATATAATAGCACCCAAGACAAACGCTATCGTATGTGTGGCACCTACCATAACAGGGGCATAAGATAGCGTTTATGAAAACGCTATGTATGACGTATTATAGCGTTTCTGTCGTGCTAACAATGTGGATATTTCTTGTAGTGCCACAATTGTTTATTTCCGTCTTCGTTTGCGTTTCTATGCTATAGTGAAGAGGATATTACAATATAGGGACGCGCGCAAAGCAAACGTAAATAAGCAATTGTAGCTTATATGTTATTCATAAACTCCTGTTTTAAGAATGCAGTGGTTTCCGGCTTTGAGAGTAGCTGCGATCACCAAATCAGAAGACACAAAAGCGAAAGCCATGGAAGAAGTGGAAGAAGGATTGTTGCAACTCGAGGATGCATTTGTTTCTATAAGCAAAGGAAAACCCTTTTTTGGCGGTGAAGCAATCGGGTTTATGGACATTTGCTTTGGAAGCTTGGTGGTTCTCTTGAAGGCTAGAGAGAAGTTTAAAGCAGAAAAGCTTTTAGACGAATCAAAAACTCCTTCTCTTTGTAAATGGGCCGACCGGTTCTTGTCCGATGAAACAGTGAAGAATGTGGTGCCGGAGATCGATAAAGTAGCTGAGTTTCTGCAAGAGCTTGAGGTTAGAGCTCAATCCGCAGCTTCAAGATCTTAAGATTATCTTAGAATGTATTGCAATGCGTACATGTAAAATAAAATAAGCTGAAGTTTGCTAGGATTTATATAATGATGCAATCCATGTGGACTATTTTCAGTTCATGTTTATCGAAATTGTACGGGTCCTAGGAAAAATCTATTTTTGCCCTTTAATATAAAAATATTTAGTTTTGGACACTTCAACTAATTAATTTTTTTTTTTCGTCTAGATTTATTATTAATTGCAAATTATGAGAACTGTTACATAGACGATTCTACAACTGACAATTCCTTCCGACCCTTACGAGATCCACGACAGACTACACTTCCTTCTACGTGATCTTGATGAATACCTTCAATGATCCATGACCTGGCGACACTTCCTTCTCTGCGTAGAATCATGGCGAACGGCTATAATTGTACATCGCTGGAAATCTCTTGCACACTTGCCTCCATTAATCTGCAAATTTGTTAATAAATCGCAATATCTGGTACTCGAACCCCAGACCTCTTGGTGTAGAAGCATTAATCAACCCTTGGTCAACCAATGGGTCAAGGGTCTTCCACAAACTAATTAATTTAGATACCTAAAATTACTATTCAAATTCTCACTAATTCACATTACCAAAAAACAAATCTCACTAATTCATGTAAAATGTCAAATTTGGGATCATAAGATTTTTTTTTTTAATTGAGATAATTTTGTAATTTTTTTAATAATCTTTTCAAATATTGCTTTATATTTTTATAATTTTGTTTAAATATGAAGTTTTCTATTGGACCTTCGAACCGTCGCACCTCTCTTAACCCTTGTTCTAAAAATCGGGCTAGGCGGCCGATTAATCGGCGCCTAGGCGCTAGGCGGTGCTGTACCGATGGGTTTAATGCATAATCGGTTTAAGAAATCGGTTTATTGATTACACCCCGCGTAAACCCGATTTTTCGTCCGCCTAGACCGCCTAGGCGGCCGCCTAGCCCGCCTAGACGGCGCCTAGCCCAATTTTTTTTTTTTTTTTTTTTTTTTTTTTTACTTTTTTTTTTATCTACAAAACGTCCTACTTATGTTCGTAATTTGTATAAAAATCATAAATTTGAAATTAAAATCTTGTTTTCATGTGTTTAATACAATTTTTAAAATAATATTATATAAATTTCTTAATTATAATGGATTAATATGTTTTTAAAATATTAAATAGCCCTAAAACTAATCCCCGATTAATCCCCGTGTAATCCCCGATTTTCTTGCTAGGCGCTAGGCGCACCCTCACCGCCCGACTAGCGCCTAGCGATTTTTTGAACACGGCTCTTAACTAATATAAGCCGGCCTGGATAATGCTTTCATATCGAAAGTTAAGCGACATATCTTGACCACTAGCACTAATTTTTCTGTTTTACATTTTTAATTAGTCTACTAGAACTAAATTGTCTTCCATGGACCCTCTTCATTGCATCTGCTCCTGATAAGCCAAAAGAATTTAATATCATTGAACCAATCAAAATTTTCTGGTCAGAGATCTAGTAGCACAAATATATTTATTAACAAAAAAGCTAACAATTATTAGAAGAAAATAAGAGTGAAATCGAACAAAACACAAAACTCAAAAAAGAAAGATAGAAAAATTAATAATAACAATATAAAAATAATAAATACCTTTTCTGAAAAAAGACAAGGTCCCAAAGACCCAGCTCAAGTCCAGCTCTCTTAATTCATTACCTCTCCATTCACACCATCTTCAACATCTCTTTCTCTAACAATGGAGATTTTTCAGAAGGCGAAAGCGGTTCGTTTGCGTAGCCACCACGACAAGTACCTAGTCGCCGAAGAAGACGAAGAATCTGTAACTCAAGAACGTAACGGCTCAGCAGGTGCAGCCAAATGGACCGTTGAGATAATCCCAGGCTCAACAAATCTCATCCGTCTCAAAAGTGCTTATGGTAAATACTTAACGGCGTCAAATAAACCGTTTCTTCTTGGAGCCACCGGAAAAAAAGTTCTACAGACTAATCCTAGTCGTCTTGACTCATCTTTAGCTTGGGAACCGATTAGAGATTCTGCTTTGGTTAAGCTTAAGACTCGTTATGGTCACTTCCTTCGTGGTAACGGTGGTTTACCTCCTTGGAGAAACTCTGTTACTCATGATATTCCTCATAGATCGGCAACTCAAGAATGGGTTCTTTGGCATGTTGATGTTGTTGAGATCCTCCCTGCAAACTGCAATCATCACCAGCAGCAACAGCAGCAGCTGCAGCTGCAGCTACCTCCGTCACCGCTTCATCATTCTGATTCTCTTGATTTCACACCTGGATCTCCTTCCAGATCTAACCGTTTCTTTAGACAAGAGGTGACTTTTTTTTAGTCTTCTTTTGATCTAAATTGACTGAAAATGGTGTCATGCTTTAGGTCCATCTGAAAATCCGCTCAGTCGGCTACTACAGGCATCGCGATTAGGCGGTTTTTGGCATGGATTACCTCTTGTTATCATGATTTTTTTTTACAAAGTTGATGATTCGTTGACTTGATGTTTTTTTTGTGGCAGTCAACGGATTCACTGGCGGTTGGATCGCCGCCGAAATCGGAAGGGAGAGTGATATACTATCATGTGGCGGATGATGATGGCGATGTTGAAGATGATTCTGTTGAGGTAAGTTCGTTTACTTTCAAAGGCAATGGTGTTGAAGAGCTGACTATGAGATTGAAAGAAGAGAGCAATGTCGAAGATGTTATCGTTTGTACTCGTAGTCCGTTGAACGGGAAGCTTTTCCCATTGCGTCTTCAACTCCCACCTAACAATGCAGACATGACTGTCGTCTTAGTACCAAGATCATCAAAAAGTGAGTTTCTTTTGGTCCTATTTTCAAGTCAAATCGTTGCTTTTCACTGACATTTGAAGTTGTTCTCTGTTTTTATTTGATGTAACAGTAGCAGAAGAGTTCATCAAGTGAGATCTTTGTTTGAAGCTGAGCTGTGAAATGAAGGCTTTGGCTGCAATTGTTTGTTGTTAATTGAGCTAAGAATGGATTTGGATTGACTTACAGATACTGCTTGATTACCAAACTTATGATTTATACAAAATTGGTTGCAGCGGTTAGTGATTCACGCTGCCTATACCATTCTTTCCCTTTTGTCCCACTCTAATGCTCAATCTCTTTCAATTACTGCGACTAGTTTTTTTGCTACCAGTAGTCTAAACAAGAGCAGGATCCGTCTTTGAAATGATGGAACCGAACACGATCCCTCACAATGATCTCAGTGTTGAAGACTTTTGAGATCAGTTTAGTAACTTCATGGCAATCGCTGCAGACACGTAGATTCTTGAATATACGGATTGGAGTCTGAGGTGGTAAGCTTATCAGACCAAAAGCAATGGCAAGTCTCTCACTGTGCAGCCTGAGGGAATACTCTTTGCTACCGTCATTGGTGGCATCCACTAAAGGTGCTTGAGAGCGATCCGGTAAATAACCAATTGATCTTAGCCTGTCGTCGATCACCTTCAACTGTTGGTATATCTGTTTTGTCTGAGGATGCGACGTGTCTCCTGCGAAAAACTCGTGGGAGATGCCATTTATCTCAATAGAACTGCATCCGGGCTCTTTTCTAATTCCATGGTCACTCATTAGTTTTCTGACGATTCCAACATCGTTCCACCGGCTAGCTGATGCATAAACTCTAGACAACAGTACATATGCACCACTGCAGTTACCATTTGAGCTTTGGCTATCTTCCTTTGTTCCAATAATATTTCTAGCAATTTCTTCACTTAGCTCCACACTAGCACCCTTTTTGCTACAAGCATCAAGGAGACTTCTCCATATCACTGCATCTGGTTTCATCGGCATGCTCATCACCATGTCAATAGCTTCAGTAATGTAGCCTGCACGAGCAACAAGGTCGATGATGCAACCGTAATGCTCCAACGCAGGTTCAATGCCATAATCCCTGACCATTGTGTCAAAATACTGGCGTCCTTTGTTTACCAAGCCTCTGTGGTTGCAGGCGATGAGAAGGGCAACAAACGTGACTGAGTTCGGTTTAACATTCTTGCCTTCTTTAACCATACGGTCAAAGCAATCCAGAGCTTCCTCAGCTCTTCCATGTGTAGCAAACCCTAGAATCATTGCATTCCATGAAGCTAAGTCACGTTTTTGCATCCCCTGAAACACTTGCCCAGCCATTCTCAACGACCCACATTTGCAATACATATCGATCAACGAGTTCATAATCAGAACATCCATAGCAACATCAACATCACAATTTCGCAACAGAAACGCATGTGACCAAGTACCTAATGACAAAGATCCAAGACCAGCACATGCACTCAAAACACTCTGCATCGTATAACCATCTGGTTCAAACGATCTCTGCATCTTTCTAAACAGTTGCAACGCAGAATCATACTCCCCAACCCGAACCAGAGCATCAATCATCGAATTCCACGAAACAAGACTTCTCTCAGGCATTTCATCAAACACTTTCCGTGCTAAATCTAAACATCCACAAGATCCATAAAAATGAATCAAACCATTGTTAACATACACATCTCCACTAAACCCATGTTTGACAACCTGACAATGAACTTGCTTCCCTTCCGATAACCCGAATATATAAGCACAAGCTTTCAATACAAACGGAAACGTATGCTTATCCGGTGCGGACTCACCTCTCTCTAACATTTTCCTGTACAGCAGAAAGGCTTCTTCTTTCCTTGAAACATCATGAGCACATGCTCTTATAAGAGTGTTCCACATGAAGGAGCTATGGTTTTCAATGGAGTCGAAAACCCGGAACGCGTAATTGACGTTGGAGAAGGAAGAAGATAGCTGGAGGATTTTGCCGTAGAGAAACAGAGTTGCGGGTTCGTCAGGGTAAGTAGTACGGAGAGTGAAGGCGTGGAGTTGCTTGAGCTGAGACATGTCTGAACATGTTTCTGCTAAGGAGAGAATACGTCGGTGATGGTTACCGGCGGCGGAGGCTGAGGGAGAACTAGCCGGTGGGATGTGAGGAGATAATGGGTGGAGCAGAAGACTGATAGACATTGGATGATAATAAGTTTAGTTGTTGTAGAAGACTGATAGAAATATTTTAAGTTTGAAATTCATCAAAAACCAATGTTTGAAACCCCACCCAGATGGCAAACCGGACAATATTTTGGGTCATTCGGTCATTCCATTAACCAGGTTTGACCGCGAGTCAATTGATTAAAATTTGTTTAATATATTTATAAAGTTATTTATAAAGTTTATATAATTTTATAAATGTAAAAATAAAAATAATTATAACATATTTAACAAAATATAAAGTCTTAGTAATAATAATTAGCGATTAAGGTTTCTAAATCCAACTAAAACAAAAAAAATACTAAGATAGTAAAAGATCACGAATGACAGAAAAAAACAAAAAAAAAACGAAATTCAAATGAGATGAGAAAATGCTAGAGATGACGAGAGAATTTTGCTTGGTAGTACTCGTTGTCCAGATAGGCTTTCATGGCCTCTTTCAGCAACCAAATCTCTGGTACCTTGTACATTTCTCTTGACGGTTTTAAATGGTGCAGCTGATGAGTTTCGCGACGTAGAGAAGAGCAGGATTGCGGATCAGGAACTGTTTCCAGGAACCGCCAACAAATGTACTAGAGCCTATGGTACTCCAAAATCTGTGTGGCTTTGAGAGGGTCCCATACTGTGTCTCGGTGCGAGGCGGGAACCTGTAGATGGCGTCCAACTCGTGGATAGACAGCTTGTAATACTGTCTGTCTTAAAAAAAACTGATCCAGCTCTCAGAAATTGTCTCAGACCTTACTCATCTCTATTAATTATATATTGGAATTACTAAAAAACGTAGAACAGTATTATGAACCCTATCCGACTAGTAAAAGCTTGACTGGCTGAGGCTTATATTGGAGGAAGTTCGTCGCAACCTCCAAAAAACCACTCAAGACACTCCAAGCTTTGTTACGTAGTATCGAATATGTATTCTAAATTTCATAAAAATAGAATATACATTATTTGGTCTCGAGCTGTTTATTAGATCCATAAAAATGTTATACATTACTTGGTCTCCAAGTTTTTTATCCTCCATATACATTGTCAAAAAAACAATTCTTAATCTCTTTGCTCATGATACATTTTCTTATTTTAAAGTTGTAAGGACATTTTTCCATCCATTCATATGAGAACATTATGATATAATTCATAGACAAAAATGTTGACTCCAAAATATAATATTACTTTAGTAGTGTGATAGAAAACTAGAAATTAATGAGTGTAACGAATCATATCTTTTGGTATTTACACAGAAATACTATTTTCCCTCGCCAGTCTCATAACAACAAAAAATGCATCTACTAGTTTTTTTTGATAAACAATATATTTTTTTTTTTGATAAACAATTATACAAGTAAACTAATATAACAAATTTAATCAAGATTCAAAGAAAAATCCAAACTTTTCTATAAACTATATATATATATATATTTTTTTTCTGTTTTTCTGTTTCTATAGGATACAAATACATAAATAAGCAAGATATAAATTAACACCATATCATTATTTGTTTTGAATAAATTAACACCATATCATTATTTGGGACTAAAACATAATAAGAACCCCTTTTTTGGTTTAAAAATCTTATCTATCTTCTTTTGTATTTTAACCTCATCAATTCCTTCTCCCTTCACGGTTAGCAAGTCGCTTTGTATATTATATGTTACAGAACTAACTCCTAACAAAAAAGAAAAATACATTTATATAGATTTTTTTAATATTTTAGTGTTATTGAAATGTTTTCTATGTAAAATATATATTTAGTAGCCGCTATGTATAAAAATAAAATGGTTTATTTTGGCTCAACAAAACTATTCGCGATTGTGTCTGTGTACCTTTACGACTATAGATATAGTCTAACATTTTTTCCCTAGCTTTTTCATTAGTAGATCCAAACTTGAATGTATATTCTTCCTATAAAAAAAGAGAAGTTGTATTAAAATCTTAGGGAATTCATTGTATAAGCAATCCCAGGTGCTAAATATGTAAAACTACATGTATAATTTTCCTTTTTAACGAGCTTTTATAAAAATTAACGAACCATTTATTGAAAAAAAGTTCAGAATTTCAGTAGAGATGATCAAAGCAATGTGATTGCGAGTTTTCAACTTAGTAGCCTGCTTATAACATCTTTTTTATATTTTATCATTTAAATGCACAATTTTGATACATTTATGTAGTCTTACAGCAATATGACACATAGTAATAATATAATTTTGGTTCCGATATATGTCAAAACAATTGTAAAAATTGTAACATATCTTAAGAAAAACAAAAGGAAAATTGAAATTGATAATATATATATCTGAAAGGTTTTGAGAACTTTATATTTAACAATAAGGTTTCCAATAACATAATGAGAAAAATAAATAATAATTGTAAGAATAAATTTTTGTGCTAAATTAACCTTTAAATGGCAAACATAAAAATACAATCTTATTGATAGAAAAATATATAAGAAGTTTTCTTTGATCAAATATAAGAAAAAAGATAAAAGTAAGTATGGCATATAGAAAGAAATCAAAAGTTGTATAAATTTATGAAATTATTGTGATATTTTTTTTTAATTTATTCTGATAATAATTTATATAGAGATTTTGATCAGAAATATGAGTTGAGAAAATTTGATCCAAAGAAAAGTAATGTTACAGATGTTATAAACTGTCTAGATTTAGATTTGAAAATATATTATTTAGAAAATAATATCTTTTTAACAATAAATACCAAATTCACTGAACAATATACATAAATCTATACTAGTATTTTTGAAGTACATTTGTTAGCGGGTGGGTTAAATTGTTATCCGACAAATTTGGTACCCTACCCAATAAAAAATTTCCTTCATAAATCTTACACCGAATATTTCATATCTTTTTTGAACCAGATATTTCATATTTAAAAATATAGATATTTAGAAGATTTGGTTAAAATTTAGAAATACAGTTCTCC